AGAGTGTTCCAGTAGAGTTCTGCGATGAAATGGTACAGTATTTGATGACCAGAGTAAACTAAAAGACACTTTCTTCTAAATGGTACACCAGACATCAAAGTGGAGCTGTCTTGCTATGCAGTCACCAGATAAATGACAAACTGAACAGTTATCACTGTCAGTTGTTACATTTATCACAATCATTTTCTTCCTCAACAATACTAAAATGCTGTGCTAAATAGTGTAATATAATCAGCAGTTTAATAGCAAACATATCAACTTTTGGCTGAAAAGTGGAATCATGTTGATTAGTACCTGTTCATGCTTCTGCATTAGTAAAACTAATACTTTCATCTGATAATTTATAGCCTTCAACATATGAGAAGCATCATAGCATTGAAAAATATTTTGGAAACTTGAGCGCTGTTTTTATGTTTTTCACTGTTGTAGAATGTATTTTTTGATATGTAGACCCTAAATTTATCATCTTTGAGCCAGCTAGTACATAGTCTTTTCAATAGGACTAGCTCTTCCCTTTTGCTAACGTAGCAGTTGCTGCTGGAGTCAATAGTTGCCATGGTCCAGGATGTGACCTGTGGTACCACGCTGCCTGAAATAGCTTAGAAATGTTAACCTCAGTCTTGGCTTCCAGTCACCGGGTGGTACTGTTTTCCATAGTTCCACAGTTTTCCATATTTTATTCATTCTTTCCTGTGGTTGTAGCCTTATCCATAACTGCTCCAAACACAGTTCTAGCACAGATGCTGCATCAGACTCACAGAAGTGGACAAAGCCAGTCTTCTGGGCTTCCTTTGTCATTGCTTTTCTGGTGTCTTATTTAGTTATTTTTTTTCCTGTGGGTGGGCCTGACATTTGAAGCCTTGACACATATCATTAATATCACCTCTAAATCACCTTTCCATTAAATGCATGGAATAAAACTTGTCATCTTGTTTCAGCTATAATCTCAGTTTGCAAATCTCGACACGGAGATGAGAGAATGGCAAGGTAATGATGACACCAGACTGCTTCTCACTGACTCCCTCGAGGAAGAACTTGTAAAAGCACTTACCTCAGCATGAATTTATAACTGAGATTGAGTGCATGATGCAATCAGGCAGACAGTTAAGATCTAGATCATGCTCTTACAACCCAAAGTTGTTAGGGTAGCTGCATAAGAAGGAGGGAGAGCACAGGTAGCATCCCTATTATCCAAAATTAACAGAACTGGGTTTTTAAATAGTGTTCCTGAGTTTCTTAGGAAGATACATGACCAGGACTGATAAAGATTAAGTCTCTTCTCACCAGGTATCTGGATAAGGTACAGTATTCCCCAGAGGTGCAATTTTATCTCCTGTGTGTAGTCACTGTCTCACCTTCTCTGTTTATTACAGAGCTCATTTATTAGTTGCTCACTGATCTTACTGCAAAAAGATGAAGTGATAATGTCCCAGAAATGCACTCTTGTCAGCGGGTGATCATAGAAGTGGTATAGTGTTTTTCTGTATTAACTTCCACCTAATGTCAGCTATAAAAATCATACCTAATGCAGTGGCCTCTATACATGCCAGGTAGCTAAACATTAAAAATGTCAGTGTGTTCAGTTGGTAGGTGTGGGTTTATAGGAAGAGATAAATATATATGGATGCTTCATACCTTGTTTTGCAAAAACTGATGTTTGTTTGATCATGTCTAAAGTTTAAAAAACTAAAGAGAAATTTAAGTATCTTGATTGAAGAAATATCCAAAGCCCAAAACAAACTTGTTTTCATAGTGGATCCTCCTCAAGACTGTGCTGTATTAAAAACGTTAAAGCCTCATCTGATAAAAACACAATTATAGAAGGTGGTTTTCTCCAGCAGACAGATGAGGGACAATGATCCTGAACATGCAAAGTGTATGAACTTCAGTGAAAATTCTCATCACCTTAAATTTAGCAAGCTGCTGATTTTGTTCTCTGAATCTATGGGCACTAAAAGTTGAGTCTTATGAACAGTACAAACCTGCTAAATTCTAACTTGACTGCAGTCAAATATAAATAGCCTTTTGAATGGCAGAGAAAAGATCTTGCTATGCTATCAAGATTTCATACAAAATATCAAATTAGCTCTTCTATTAAATAAATAAATAATAAGTGAAACCAGTCATGCAAGAACAGTATTGCAATGCATGCACCAAGTTTTGGCTGCCTTCAGATTCTTCAAGACCTCTGACTGACTTCACTGAGCAGAGGTGTTCACCTGTCATTTTTGGAACTTCTCCTGTTGTTCATGGAGGCAAGTTTGCCCATTATGTTAAAGAACTGTCCCTTTTTTTCCCAACACTGTATAAAGAAGACAAAACAAGTGGTATTTGTGGCCATGTCAAGAAATACAGACCATCTCATCATATGGTGGTATAGAGATTGCAATAAAAAATTTAACATCGATGAAGAAACCCTTTTTTCCATATTGCCATCACCAGTTCTGAAGAGTCAGAAGGGAGAAAAAATTAAAGTTTAGGCTGTTTGATCCTTTTTCGTATTAGCTAAGGCTTGCATCTCTCAGCCAGGCAAAGCCTCGTGAGGGTAAGCCAGTACTGATCAAGAAATCTCTTGGCTTAAGATATTATGGGGACTGTTGCTGCACGTGCTTGTTGGGTTGACCGAAAATAAGGCTCTGCCAAAATCTATTGCACCAGCATCTGCAGGTGGATGAGGAAGTCCTTTCCCTCTCTCAGTCTTTCATCTCCTCCCCTGATGTGGTGAAAGGTCTCCACAGGTGTGGCTCCAGATGGGAGCCTGATGGTCCCTCTGTGGAGCACCACCAGTAGCATTTCGGGGAGTGCCAGCAGAGGAGACCTCTGCAACCTCACTGAGCAAGTCGCGCTTACCAGGTTTGCTGCTGTTGATGAACCTCCCAGCGTCTGCAAGCTGAAAGCAATTATTAGCAATCCCTGGCCTGACCAATTTGTAGAAAAAAAGGACCTCTCTAATTTTTTTTCTTTTCCCCTAACTGGTCTATTATGGAAGTTTATGTTGTGATTATCTACAGTGCTGTTTCTCATGGAGACTGCACGTTGTTACATAAAAATGTATCTTCCCTAACGGTGAAGCCATTTGCAGTAGAAATGGATAAAACAAAAGGGACTAGGATTATTAAAGTGGATTTAAAGTAGTTTAATCTTTGTGGGTTTTATATGTGCTGTATGCTAAATTTGCTTCGAGCACTGAGTTTAAAGTTTCATATTCACAGCCAGTAAATGTGGCTATTAAGAAACAATGTATTCATGTTAACTCCTTGGCTGTGGCGGTTTTAGTGCATTCACTGCTGGCAACGGACATCAAGCCAGGAAAATCCAACTCCTGATGCAAAAGGATTTTAAAAAAATATCCAGGCACTGCCAAAAATACATAATTCTTTTTTTGTACTCTGCAGTTTGTTTTACTTGGGGAAACGGCCTGGTCATACCCTGCAGCATGCATTCATTACAGTGATCTTTGACTGGCAGATGCAGAGTAATAAGATGCATATTTTAGTGCTTATTATAATACCCTGTCCAAAAACAACTTGACAAATTTGTGATTTCGACAGTATCTCATTTTGCTGGCTGCAGTGCTCTGTGATTGCATGGTCCACGTGGCTTCCAGATTATGCATACCACCAATACTGCTCATTAAAATGGCCACAGTTCACCAGTTTCGGTAGCTTGGAACGAACTTGGAATGAATTATTATACAACAAAGAGGCTGCTGTCATGCAGAACAAAAGACAAGCAAAAGAGAGCTTTGGCTTAATGAGGCTAAGTGAGTGTCTCCCCTGCATCACCAGCTACTTGACGGCCTTTGAGCATGGATTTTTTTCTCCACAGGCCAAAACCTTTGGTCTATTATTTTGTGTTTATGCACCTTGAGGCTAATATACATTTTAATATGCTGCACATGGAGAAAAAAATCAGCCTTTAGATTAGAACATGTGCACTCCCTGTTAAGTTAATGACAGCCGAACATAGAGATAAATTTAGGTTTTCATATTTAATTATAGCACAGTGCAGTACGTTTAGCAAGGATAAATTGCACTATTATTATGCTTCATTTTTTTTGACATCTTTTCATATTAACCATGCGCACTTACCCCCACTTCCTCCCCAGTGTCACACATAATGTCTCTGTGCATCATCCTTCTCTAACACCATTAATTTTTTATTCTGTACAGTTGTATATGTATTGTTGTATTTGTTCCTTAGGGTTAGCTTGCTAGTTGGATAAAGCCATTCAAAACAGCCCTTGTGTTAGGTGATCTACATAAGCAATAAGGACAGAAAAGACATAAAAAGAACTGGCCTCCATGGCCAGACATGGCTTCTCACATCTGCTCCCAGAGCAGGGGTTCCCAGCCCTTCTCCCCTGATGCTTTCAGTGCAGTGTGCGCTGTCTGCGACTGCAGAATAGTAGCCCCTTTCTCAAGCAGCTGAACTAGAAAAGCCATAGAAATAATGCGTGGAAGGTTAAATGAGTTCTACAGAATTTTGTAGTTGGATAATATTAATACGGACAATAGTGGTAATATAAAATGTCTCTGTCATGAAGAACTTAGTGTTGTTTTATTGTATAAGAACTAAAACAGAGCTAATGTTTCAAGGTGGTATGTGCTGTTTGTTGGGGCTTTGTACATGCATTGCCTCTGTTTGTCAGAATGGTTGCTCCAAGAATAGCACAGGAATTAGGCCAGACCTCAACCCTATGGAAGACAATATGAAATTAAACATAGAGGCAAGCTGGCATGCAATTCAGGCTTTGCACATCCTTATCATGTTTTAATGGGAATATTTGACAATTTCTGGGCTGCCATCACATTTGGTGGTGATGTTGGATTATTTGTTGCTACCTGAGAGAGCTTTTAGATTAGCTTTCAGATCTGGGCTGAGCTATTCAGGTAGCTGTGGTTTGTGAAAAATATGATTGCATGCTTCACAAAATTAAGGAAATACTGCTATTTTCCAAAGTGGATTAGAGCAGGTAATAACTCATAGGAAGAAGATTTTCCTCCTCCTGCTGTGTGTATAAGCAAGTAGAAGATATTATGCTACAGGCTTATTCCTAGATTATTCCTTATTGGATAGTTGTTTCATGACAAAAGACACTGTGGCTTGATGACCAGAGGGTCATGACAGGAATAATAATCACTATATGAAAGGGTGTCTGGATCTTGGTGATAAAGCATTCCTCATCGCAATCAGTCAGCACTTGCTGGTGCAAGAATTTTCCTCAATGGCAGAGATCAGCTTTTTCATATTCATTGAGAGCAAATCAGTCTCTCTCTCTCCCTCTCCTTCTCCCCCCTCTTTCTCCAACCTTCAGTTCTGTACCAGCTTTTACTGCCAAAGAGATTTTTCTTTGTCAGGTGAAACTCACAGAGTTTGGGATGTTTAGGACAGTATTCATGGGATTGGTATTAGTTGCAGAGCCTTATTCTTTGTGGCTTCACTGTTTAAAGCCCTGGTCAGTAGTGATTGATAGCTAATTGTCTACAGTTCAAGCACTAGAAAATGTGTTGGCAATTAATTTATGTGTGCAAAACTCTTCTCACTGATTTTGTAAGTGCAGATTTTGATGCAAATTGCATCCATGAAAGCAAGGTTGTGCCTTTCAAAGTGTAAGATCTATAATTACTAGTCTGAGAACCTGATGATATGAAATTCTTCCTCTAGAATCTACCCCTAGTGAGGGAAGTAATTTATTAACAATATTGTGTATTTCTAAGCAGTACTTCTAACCATCTTCTTATTCATTAAGCACTAGTAAAATGCTTGATTTTATATGAGATGTAGTCTTACAGATTTGCAGTCTATATCCTACAGACATCCAGATGGTTTAGAAACATCTATGCAATCAGAAATGTCTCTCTGTACCTACAGGTAGCTGTTATTAGTAAAACCCACTTTTATTTATGTGTTCCCATTTTGTTTATGGTACTAGTCACAGATGTACTTACTGATGTGCATGTAAAGACCTGGACTTTTAGCTTCTGAAAGAATCATTGTCCATTTAAATTTGGAAGGCTGTTTACTTGAATAGAAGGTGCTCTGTGGACCACCATGCTCCATGCAATAAACTGCAAAACAAAGTCTGTGGTATTGGTCATAGACAACGGACTAAGTATTCATTTTCAGCCTGTTTTCTAATAATTGTGTTTTTCTTCTGCTAATTTTGAGAGTAATTTTGTCTACAGCATCTCTTAATTCTCTTAGGAACAAGTCTGGCCCTTAAGCATGTAGTGATGTGCACAGATGTACAAGAAATCTAGAAGGAGTGATTTATGGGGAGAGGCTAAAGAAGCTAAAACACTTACATATCCATATGCCCTGCCTAAATGATGCGTGTAAACATAAGAGATGGAGAACTCGGTGGTCTACAAATATTTGAAGTTTGCAATCAATTGAGAGAGGGGAATTTTATGATGTAGAGTGAGAATTCAACCAAGACTGATGAGTTGAATTGGAAAAAAAAAAGGAAGTGTTCAGGAAAAGCAAGAGAAAATTTATCCTGATTGGAAGGAAAGTCTTTTTGTAGAAATAATGGAGGTTTCATGCTGGGTTGTTGAGATTAAAGGTAGGGAGGAATTTCAAAACTTGAATGCATGAGGTCTAACAGAAGTACTGCCAGGAGAAATTTCAGGTTGACAGGAGTATGTGCTGGACTTGTAGACTTTTCCTGTCTGATTTGCACAAGCTAGCCTATGGCCCTTTCCACCATTTCAGCTGCACACTAGGGACTATCCTTGGAAGCTGCTGCATCCTAACAAAGTGTTCAGACAGTGACTCAGTATAAGCCACTGGAGCTAACAGTATCTAATAATATGAAATTGAAATGTCTTTTTGCTTAAAGATTAAGATCATACTTAAGGAACATGGTTATGTCCTTTCCCACCTATTTTATTGTTATTGCCATAAAAGACTTTTGAAGGTTTTTCTGTAACCTTGTGAGGTTTTGATCCAACCACATGGATGCCTCAGCAGTCAGAGCAGTATTTTTTGAGTTCTTATGAACAAATGGATTAAAAATGTCTTTCTGTTTCATTGCCCATTAGTCATACACTGGCACAAGGCAACTGTGCCAGTAACTGAGCAGTGGGGCACACCATCTCTACATGCAGGAGTTTGGAAAAGATATTTCTGCACTTCGCTGACCTATTCATGCTGTACAGAATTCATTAAGGCCCAGAAACTGTGTTTGGGATGTTCCAGGGAACAAATACAGCCAGCCTGTAATCTGCTGCTCCACAGCACATTGGGGCTCTGTAATAGTTTGAAGGGGCCTGGCAAGAATTTTATTGATTTCTTGGGATCTCATTCAGGCTGATGCACTTGGGTACTCTGATGGCTGATGTTTAAGAACACCTACCCTAGCTGTTATTAAGAAGGTGGGTCTAATCCTGACCTAGGTAAGACCTTGTTTGCCCTTCATTCAACTCAGCAGACAAGTTTTAATGAAATAGCTCCCTTTTATTTTTCATGCCACAGCTGTGTTTTGACTGCCACATTTGGAACTATCCAGTGTAAGGAAGTCACTGTATAACCTGTATGTTGGTCAGGAGATGTCATATATATCTGTTCTTTCATTAATCATTTTGTCTCTTTCTTGTTTGACTGCTTGGAATAATTAATGCTTTTTTTTTTTGCTATTACCATGTTGTATTTCTTCCAAATTTCTGTTTTATTTATACATAAAAGCTATAAAATATCTTATTGTTTTATACAGTATGTCTGGATTCATGAGAAACCCAGAAGTGTATCACTCAAATAGTACAGGTTTTTTAGATTGTTTAAGACAAGACCTTGCAGTTGAGTTTAAAAGTAATTCAATTCTAGAACCTATTGATTATAATTTTATTTATTCATACTACCCATCATTACAGCATAGAGCATTATATCCTATATGCTAATCATTATTTACTATTTTATGAATAGTTGTGCTCTCTTTTTAAATATTAAATATATGTCAAAAGGCATCTTCCAGACCAAAAGTCTCATCCAGACTCTCCAGCAGTTTTTCACTGCTCTTTACTAAGCCTTCTTTCAAATGCTGAGCACTCCTGACACTTTGAAACATCCATTTCAAAAATTTCCATTTGTAGATTTTAAACCATTGTAAACCCACAAAGCTCTATAAGCACAAATATATCTACATTTTCTCCTTTACTAAAAATGTATCACTAAGCTGTAAACAACTCACATGCCATTTACATTGGCATAAATGATATTCTGAAACCTCTAAACTTACCTGTTAAAGCAGGAAAACAAGAAATCCTTTGGCAACTGTAGCATGAGTGTGCCTTTCATAGTCACCATTTGTATAAGAGCACCCAGAAGAAGGGAGCATGGCCTCTCGGAGCTGCCATTGTGGGTGGTACAGTGAAGGGCCATTAAACGCCTCATGCTCCAGAACTCCCCTCTGTCTTCACAACCAAGTCATGATCATTCATTAGATAGACTGCAGCCATTTCATTAGCAATTTTGTCATAGCTTGGTTTTTGACCTTCATTGCCTGGTCTGTGGATGGGTTTCTATGCCTGCTACTGGATTTTGGATTTAATTACCAGGATAAAGAAGATAGAGGAGAAACTTAGTGTTTACATTTTTCCATAGGACTTAGTTTGGGTTTATGTTGTTTATCACTGAGGTATTTTTGTCTACATAGTGTGAATTGTTTGCAAAGGTATTTATAACAACATTTGGGTGATGAATGTGCAGTCTGAAAAGCTTGAAAGTCTGCCTCTCTGCCTGCATTTTTAAAAAGCATTTCCTTCCCATTCAGTTTGTGTCTTTAGTTGTCTAGTTGTTAAATGACAGTTTGGGAGGTGATGCCTGTGTGAAGTCATGGACACTGTTTTGACTGTGTGAGCACTGATTCATAATTCAGCACACACCGAGAATTGAGCATTTATTTTGCAGTGAAGTCTTAACACAGTCTATTATAAGTATCCCACTTAACTGTACAAATACCGTCCCCAGCTTGTTCACTAAGAGGTCTCAATTTATGGTATCTGACTGTCTGAATTGACCTTAGAAATCTCCAGCACAAGGAATGAAGTCCCTAACTGTAAGCATTGAAATCAGTTATCAGGACATTGGAATAGATAAACATTACACACTCAGAGTGGGATTTATTTGCCTCTAGATGTGGTTTAAGACCTTACAGGTGTCTGAGGTATCTGTGCAGTTCTGGATCTTGGAGCATGGCACTGGAAACTTGCATTGGGATGAATTAATACTTTCCTGCCTAGAAGTTTAGTGTGGTTCAGACACTGAAAGCTTGACAGGCAGAAATACACAGTCAAAAAAGGATGCAGGAAGCTGTTTCCAAAAGTCTATCCTCTCTCAATGAGGGAGACCATTACTTCTCCACAGGGAGCAAAGAGTTTAAGTGAAATACTGACCCAGGCTTACTGCTTCTAGGGGTGCTGTCAGACTGAAGGGGTTGAGGCATTTGTCCAAAATGTCATCTAATGTTTTGAGCTTTTTGAAATAAAAAATATATGTGCAGCCATGCATATGTGCATGCATGTGCAAGAAGTGTTTTGTAATGTTTGTGTTTCTCACCTGTTCTGCAGAGATGTCCTGAAACTTTAGACAGGTTCCCTCTTGCTGCAGTCAGGGATGCAGAGAAGACTAGAGGACTCCAAAATTTTGGATTCCACAACTGATGGGACCACCTCATGTGGTCACTCTCCCCAAAAATAGTGTCAACCATAAGGGTTTTTCCTGAAAGCTCGTTTTAGAAACCCAGAACTGGGAACTGTGATGTCACATTTAAGCCCATCTAGCTCAAAGACAAGTAAGGCTCTGCTGTTAGAGCCTATCCCAACTGACTGAGGTTCATTTATAGAGTGGAATTGCTTCAGGATATGACAAATGGTTCTTGAATAGTACCTGGGTACATTGAATGTTTGCCTACACATCTCTATTGGAATAATTGTTAGTTCAGTTAAAATTCGTTTTTACTTCACTCAAGGCTAGCTTTGTCATTTAGCCATGATATAATAAGTTGCTAGTGTGAAAGGGACTGTGTCACAACATAACTTGCTTTCAGTTTCAATCATTCAGCCCAACACAAGAAAATTCTATAATGCAATTGCAATGATAAGTTAGACACTCAAGAATTAGATAGGTAGTGGTGGATTCATGAAAATCTCAGGTCATAACCAGTGAAGTCTCCCTGCCTCAGTCCCATAAGGGTACTTTAATTTTCTTCCTGTCTTGCAGCTCATAAACATGCTTGTCTTCACAACACACACCATATGCTGTTGGAAAAGGGCTGTAAAGTTTTATAGATATATTTGAGGGTATTATAAAAGTATAATAAAGTAAAAATAATGCAAAGAAATAGAAATCATTGAACAACTGAATTACAAAATTAGGCTGGGATGGTTTTATTGCATTTAGTTTCTACTTGGCTTTTACAATCATGAAGAGATAGAATTCTTTTTAGAATTAAAATTAAGAATTTTGATTTTAACGATACTTGTAAACATTTGCTTAAACACAAATAATTTCAGTATGTTGCTGAAGACTATTTAGTTTTAGCTCAGTCAGTACAAAACTAATTTCTGATGTTTATCTTTCAAAAATGTTTTACTTGGTTTCAGAGAAATATTTCTAGTTCAGAGGTGAAAGGTTTTACTCATACAGATTGAAATGTTAAGTAGTTAAGTAACATTACAGTGAAAGTTATAGTACAATAATAGTAGTGACCAAATTACAGATATTTTGTTTAATCTGAAATCAGTTTCAACCCAAAATGTGGCCCCTTTCCTTGGAAACACAGCAGAGAAAACAACATGATTGCTGTCAATAGTGCTGCCATCTTTTTCCTGTTTAGAAGTGAATAATACACCAAATGGTCACCTTGGAGATGAAGATGGACAGTAGGAAAGTCTGCTGATTTGAGTAGCATAGTTTACCTACATTCTCCCAGACAGAAGTTTCTGCAACTCAAAGTTTTCATTCCAATTTATGGGGTTTTTTTCCCCTCGAAAATCAGCTGGAGTACTGGACATCTGAACTTTTCCCATGGAGAGTCCTCTCAGAAACAGCTGCAAAGAAGTTCAGAATATTTCAGCACTTTCTCTCCTACAATAGCTCCACACTGGCTGTTCCTAGCTCACCCTCCATGGCCCTCCCGCCACCCTCTGCCCGTCTTGCCCTGTGAGTCCAGGCCCCGGGGAAGCTCTGTGCGAGCCGCCAGGAACCATGAACCCTGCTGTGGGGAAGCCTGGTAACCCTCATGGCCCAGACCTGACCACTGCATCTAACGTTCTGTAGAAGGGGCAGGCTGGCAATGAAAATTTTATGTTGCGATGTTTGTCTGGGCTTAAGTTCTGGAGGCATTTTTGAAAGATAACATGTAGCTTAGTGATCTGCACTACAACCAAACTGCTGGTTGTGAAGTGAGCTCAGACGAGAAGTTCAACTTTGTTTGTGTCCCTGATGGCTTTTATATACATAAGAACAGTAAGACTTTAAAAAAGGCTACTGGAAATTTTACTGTGATCTATTATAGCTGAGAGTATCTTAAATTATTCTTCATTCCTTATCACAGCAATCAGAAGCTTCAGATAAAGGTTTAAACGTGCTTTGCTTTGTCTCACTATAGGGGTACATTCTTTTCTTCAACTTATAAAAAATAAGAAGCCTTTTAAGACATACAAAGAATACAGCATGAAATTCAGAGTGTCTGTATCTGGTTTTCATGGGGGATGCTTGAAAGGAATTAGACTATTTTTCAGGGGAAACTTATGGCACACTGCTCGGGTATAAATTAACAACAATGAAAGTGGTAAATTAAAATTGTGACATCAATTTCATTTTTAGCTCTGCTTTACATTTATATAGAAGGATTTATTATTACCGTGATTTACCTTCTACTAAGAGGTAAAAGAAAGGAAAGTATGAAGTAGTAACAGTTGTAATTATCTTCTGGAAAACTTCAGCTTGCAGAAAATGCTGCAGCATGTCTGCTCAGAAACCAAAGTTGGTGCAAGCACACTAGGCCATCCTCCCTCCATTTCCTAGGCTGGATTCCCAGCATTTTCTGACACAGCAGTTCAGTTGTAAGGTTCAGCACACGTTGAAGGAAAGATCTGTCTTCTATCTCAGGTGAAGCACTGACTTCCTGTGTGGCCTCCAATTTATTTTTTTTTACCTCCTGGCTTCCTACATGTGCTGGCAATGAGGTGTGCTGGTGGCGTGGAAGCCCTAGATGGGACATCCCAGCACAGAATAGCAAACCAGCTCTTAGCTCTTTTCTTCGGCACTGTCAGTACTGAAGTTCCTTTGTATTTTACGTGCTAGATTAAACCCCAGGGGCAGGCTATAGCCTATGACTCCATTCATTCCTTGTGCTTGCTGGATTTTCAGCAATGCTCTGTTTATAACAAGATGTAAGGTGACTGAGTTGGCTTAGGAGCATGTCCACAACTGGAACAAGCTCCCACAGGACCTAAGATTCAGTTAGTGCCTTTGCCTTTTATCCTGAGAGTAAAAAGCACTTTTCCAACTTTGCCTTCTCTGTGCAGAAGTGCATCTATGTTGCTCTTTGCTATTGTTTTTTTCGGAAAGGAAATTACTAAAGTCAGTGAAACAAAGCAGCCTGTCCCATACACAAAGAATGAAAATGAGAGAGCAGGTGAGCCATGCAAGATAGGTGGTGTTCATTAGTTAACAGACACTGCTGGGATATTTTAATGATGAAGGTGACATAAAACCTTTGCAAGGGAAGACAACAATATGAAACAAGTGTCCATTTTATCTCATTTCTTTTGTCTTCTGGAGCAGAAACAGAGACACTGAGAGGCAGGCTCAAGAAACCTAATTAAATACTGAAAGGAAATTAAAATTAGTTCCCAGTTCTGTTGCCCAGACTGATTCTGTGCATACTCAATTTGTATTATTTTCAAAAAAAAGACATTATAACCAGAATTCTCAAGGTATTTCTCATTCTTGAAGACAGGAACTAGATGTTTGGGCTAGTCTTCAGATATGATCCATACTCCCAGTATTGTCATTAGGACCTGCCAAGTATTTGGCATATCTCAGATCAGTTCTGTTGTTAGAATAAGGAGTCAGTGAACCCCCAAACCTGCTAATTTCTGGGGGGAAATGTTTAAAGACTTTGAAGCAAAGTTTTCCTAAGGAAAAAACATTTGATAGCAAATTATATTAAATAACCTGAGTTCCCATGGAAGTAATTAAAGCTGTTATTTCACTTAGAAAGGAGAGTTGAATCAAAATATGATGATTTTATGATCTGTATATACCACTGATACAAGTTAAACTGTCAAAAAGAAAACTTCACAGCGTCCTGAGGTTACTTCACTTCCTAATTAAGACTACAGCAGCATTTTGCAGAGTGTGAAAGGAATTCTGTGTGGTGTAAAGTAGCTGTAGAAGGGAGAAATCATTCATTTTAAGGACACACCTGGTACAGGAGATTGCTTTAAGACTAGGTTGAAGATACAGCTCATACTTTGGCTCATGATGGAACATTGTTTATCTTCTTGGCTTTTTAAAGCTATAATTGTACTTCTATTTTGGAAAAAAAAAAAAAAAAGCTGAAGAGACGTCCTTATATGTTAAAAAGTGCAGTGATATCTGTGATAAATAAGTCCTCACTAGGACATACTTTTTATGGTTACACCATAAGCTTTGTAACTCTAGATCCTGAAAGTCCCCAATGACAAAGAATAGCGTTTATTGAAACTAGTTGGATGTTGCACTGTTTTACTTCACTCTTCCTGGGCACTGACATCAGAAGTGACTAGATTCCTATAGGCATCTATCTTCAGAAAGGAGAGATATGTCTGTACTTTCAAATTAAATGTGCCCGGGAATATTCCTAGGTGCTCAGGCCAGCTGGCACCGAGCAGCCTGTGCCGATGATCAGAAGCTGTTAGTCTCCAAAGCAGGTTGGCTGCAGGCAGGCTGCCTGCTGGGAACAGCTCCTGGAGCATGCTGACTTCCAAAGCTTCTCCCAAGAATTGCCTGGGACACTGATAGTCAGCACAGGCCAAAAGCAGGCAAGAAAATGTTGTAATGCTTTGTTAGGATAGATGACAATGTCCTTGTGCTGTGGAACGTTCCCAGACACTGATTTACTACTGTAGATACAGACTGAGTGTCTTGCAAAAGTCTAAAAAAAAAAAAAAAAAAAAAAAAAAAAAAAAAAA